CCAATTAGACTAAGAGCTAAGACTGAACCTAGAGTAAACCCTGAGACATAGACACAGTAAGCACAGATTAGAACAAGAGCAACTCACTCAAACACAGACACCTCTTGCACCTATTGGAGGAAGATGAGTAGATGCCTGTGAAAAAGTACATACAACATAGAGAACAATTTGGCACCACCAGAACCTACTAGTTCTCAACAGGAAGACATGAACATCACAACAGAGAAGAAGCAGAAGAAAGTGACCTTAAAATTAACTTTATCAAGATGATAGAGGTCTTTAAGGAGGAAATGAAAAAGTCCCTAAAAGAAATTGAGGAAAAGACAACCAAAACTGGAAGAAATCAATAAATCCCTTAAAAAACAAAAAAAAAGCAAAGAAAACCAAGAAAAAGCGATTACACGGGTAAAGGAAACAGTTCAAGATAGGAAAATTGAAATAAAAACAATGAAAAAGACAAACTGAGGGAATGATGGAAATAGAAAGTCTGAGTAAATGAACAAGAACTACAGATACAAGCATAACTAACAGAATACAAGACATGGAAGAGAGAATCTCTGGCATGGAGGATACAACAAAGAAAATAGATTCATCAGTCAAAGAAAACACTAAAGCCAAATAAGTCATAACACAAAACATCCAAGAAATCTGGGACACCATGAAAAGACCAAACCTAAGAATAATAGGGATAGAAGTAGAAGAATACCAACTCAAAGGCACAGAAAATATACAAACAAAATCATAGAAGAAAACTTTCCTAACTTAAAGAAGGAAATACCTATGAAGATACAAGAAGCTTACAGAACACCAAAAAGACTAGACGCCCCCAAAAAGTCCCCTTGCCACAAAATAATCTAAACTAAACATACAGAATAAAGAAAGAATATTAAGAGCAGCAAAGGAAAAGGGCCAAGCGACTTATAAAGGCAGACCCATCAGAATAACACCCGATTCCTCAATGGAGACTGTGAAAGCCAGAAGGTTCTGGACAGATGTAATGCAGACACAAAGAGACCATGGATGCCAGCCCAGACTACTATACCCAGCAAAACTTTCAATCACCATAGACAGAGTGAACAAGATATTCCAAGACAAAACCAGATTTAAACAATACCTATGCACAAATCCAGTCCTACAGAAAGCACTAGAAGAAAAAAAAATCCAACCTAAGGAAGTTAGATGCACCCATGAAAACATAGGCAATAGATAACCCTGCTGTGGATATTGCTCTATATAAATAAAACACTGATGGCCAGTGACCAGGCAGGAAGTAGGTTGCCAGGCAGGAAGTAGGTGGGACAAGGAGAGAGGAGAATTCTGGGAAGGGGAAGGCTGAGGGGGGAGACACTGCAGCCACCGCCAGGACAAGCAGCGTGTAAAGACTCTGGTAAGCCACCAGCCACGTGGCAAGGTATAGATTTATAAAAATGGGTTAATTTAAGATAAAAGAACAGTTAGCAAGAAGCCTGCCATGGCCATACAGTTTATAAGTGATATAAGCGTCTGAGTGATTATTTTATAAGTGGATTGTGGGAATGTGGGGCTTAGGGAACCTGGAGAGAAGCTCTACAGCAACATAACCCCACAGCAGCAAATCCCAAAGAATGGAAATACACACATACTACCACCAAAAGATAATAGGAATTAACAATCACTGGTCATTAATATCCCTTAATATCAATGGACTCAATTCACTTATAAAAAGACAAGCTAACAGAATGGATATGAAAACAGGCTCCATCCTTCTAATGGATACAAGAAACACACCTCAATTTTAAAGACAGACATTATCTCAGAGTAAAAGGCTGGGAAAAGCCTTTCCAATCAAATGGACTTAAGAAACAAGCTGGTGTAGCTATCCTAATATCTAATAAAATAGACTTCAAATTAAAGTCAATCAAAAGAGATCCAGAAGGACATTACATATTCATCAAGGAAAAAATCTACCAAGATGAAGTCTCAATTCTGAACATTTATGCCCCAAACACAAGGGTACCAACATATGTAAAAGAAACATTACTAAAGCTTAAATCACACATTAAACCCCACAAACTAGTAGTAGGAGACTTCAACAGAGTGCTAGAGAAGTTCCCAGGAATCCACAAGGATGACCCCAGCAATAGTAGAGGGTGCCTGAACTGGCTTACCCCAGTAATCAGATCTGTAAAAACTCTGTCATCATAGAGCCTTCAGCCAGGAACTAATGGAAAAAGATTCAGAGATCCACAGACAAGCGCCAGGCTGAGCTCCAGGAGTCCAGTCTGAGAGAGATGAGGGATTCTATGAGCAAGGGGCATCAAGATCATGATGGAGAAACCTACAGAGGCAACCAAACTAGTGAGAACTCATGAACCTTAGACCAACAGCTGTGAAGCCTCCATGGGACTAGACTAGGCTCTCTGTATAAGCAACACAGTTGTGTATTTTGATTTGCTTAAGGGGCCCCTGGCAGTAGCATCAGGATCCATCCCTGCTGCATGAGCTGGCTTTCTGGAGCCCGTTACCTATAGTGGGACACCTTGCCCAGCCTTGATGCAGGGGGAGGGGCTTGAACCTGCCTCAACTGAATGTACCAGACTCTGCCTACTCCTCATGGGAGGCCTTACCTTGTCTGAGGAGAGAATGGGGAGTGGGTTATGAGGGGGAGTCTGGGGATGGGAGGAGGGAAGAGAGGGGGATCTGTGGTTGGTATGTAAAATGAATAAAAAAATTTCTTAATTAAAAAAATAAGTGTACATCAGCACACCTGGCTTTTTATATGGCTTCTGGGGATGGAAAGCAGATCCTCGTGCTTGAAGCAGCAAGCAATGGACTGTCTTCCCAGCTTATGATGCTTCTTAATTCTGTGTTCATAAAAGCAATCAGTACCTCTGCTCTGTATGTTTCATGACACCATAATGCCTGGCTTCCTTCTGCTTTTGAACTCTGAAGTTTCAGATATGTTCCTTTAAGGAACAAGCAACACCTACTTACTTGCTTTGGAAATTCTATGAAAGTAAGAAGATCTTTAAAATGTTCACTTTGAGCATATGAGTTTGAGGTTAACCAATAACACCCAGGTTTTTTAAGTGTTCCCATAACCTTCATAGAACCTCTGGGGTTTTAGAACTCTTAATCCATCTGGCCTCTATTCTGTGAATGATTCCAGCTTATCTCATGCCAAACTGCACAATCCATTTCCCCAGCAATATATTCATATTCACTAATAGGAACATGACTTATGATAGTCTAATTAGGATGACTCACTGAAGTTTTGTTTATAAGAGCTAGAAAATAAAAAGTACTTTCCCTCCCCATTATAAGTAATAAACATAGGAACACACATCTGACAGCCAACACATACCATGAGAGGATCACATGACCAAACTTGTAAGGAAAAGCAACTGTGTCTATCAAAGCATCATCCTGGAGAACTCAATATTTTACATATAGTGAGTCAGGTGGGAACTCTTCCTCAACAGCAGAGCTCTGAGTCTATGATAAATTTATTTCTGAACACATATAGCCAAGGATGGAAATGTCCTGCCTGGGAGTAGGGTTTTATGTTTTGTACACTCGGGAGTTAGTTAGAAACAAAAGAAGGAGTTAGGTGACCAGTTTAAATAATGTACTTCTGGTATGGGAGGGGTGTTTCTTAAGGAGAATATTTACCCGAGGGCTGTTTTCCTGTTAAAAGGGTGGGTCTCAAGGCAGCATCTCTTCTGGAGCAAACATAACCACAACTACTATGAGAGGAGAATGTTGTCATTCTTCATTGAATGCTTTTGAGTTCTGACATTCTCTGATATCTTTAAATATTTGGATTGTAAGGGGTCTCAAAACAGCCAGTTCTTCAAACAAAAACAAAAGCACTCAGCACCTGAACATTTTTCCTTTTGCACTAAAACCTCAAGTTTACTTTGTCAACCTGCCAAAGTGACTGTGACCACTGCCTTATTCACACCTGCTATGATGTCATCAGTGGAGACAGTAAGAAGCTGGAAGTGCATTGCTCATCTGCTATGTTAAGCCAGCCAAACAGGACAGAAGGCCAGATGGCTCCATATCTCTGTGGCCTCCAACATATACTCCTAATTTCATAGAATTAACTGTCACTACTGCTTTTTAACTCTCAAAACTCTCTTTTTATCCATCCTAGCAAAGGAGACATGTAACAGATCTCAGCAAGAATCACTTAATTCATTTTAATTCTCTAGGAAGTACTATTTTCATACCAACTTTAAAATAACACATTCGGTCCTAATTTTTTTTTTGGGGGGTGGAACTTCCAGAGAAAAGGTTTTTGCCTATAATCTCAGAATCCAGGATTCTAAAAACACTTATGCCTTTTGCTATAATAAAAATAATAATTATTATTTTTGAGATTGTGGTAAGAAAATAAAGCACACCATCCCCAAAGAGTGCCTCACTTACAGAAGCACGGCTCCATGTGCAGCCTACTTTATAAACAAACCAATAGGATCTAAGAAAGTCAGATTCTTCAATAACTTGTAAAGTTTTCTATAAATTAGCCTAAAGTATTTTGAAAGAACAATTGCTAATTGTTTGTGGCTTGGCTTTCCTGTCCAAACTAAAGGACCATCACTTAATCTTTTGTAACATCTTTCCTTGGAGAAGCTATGCACAGACATTTGTCTCCATGAGGCAGTTTTGAGTTTAAAGGAGATACATTCTCATTTTTCATTTTTTAAATGCATTTGTAAGGTATTTAATGGACATTCAGATCTTTTTAGATAAAGTGAAAAAAAATTCTAAAAGCCTTATTACCTTGTAATGATTCAAAGATTTACATCTGAAAAATAAAATGGCTAAAGGCCCAAACTAAAGAGATGTGTTATAAACAATAGGTCTCCTCTTTTAGTTTCTTCTGATTAAAAAGGGGTATATCTGCTGTATGCAAGGAAAGAAGAGAAGGGATACAAATTTAGATACAAATAGTATCTGGTATTCTATAATATGGGAAGCAAAAAGTTTATCTATCACATGAATATGACAATGAGTCACGAAAACCACAAGCTGCTTTATTCATCACAGATGTCAGTTAAAATATACTTCCTCTTAAACTAGCAAAATGCATTGAGGAAAGGCACTAAGGGCTTAAGAGTAGTGTCATGACTCCAAAGAGAAAGGAAGAGTCAGACTCTGGGGCCCACAACTAAAGATCTAAATGGGGCATCAGCAGAGGTAAAATGTGAGAAAAAGAAAACCAGTGCTGGAATGAATTGTGCACATGAGAAATATACCTTCAGAGGGTCCTGATAGCATGATCTAAATCTAAATGCAAATACATAATTTAAAAAATAAGAAGTAGCTTCAAAAATAAGTTTGTAAGTCTAGTAACATCTAGAAATTCCCTTATTTGCTCATTGCTTGTACTCTATTAGCCCACCGAGTGAAGGTCAGGGAAAGAAAGTGTGCTCCTCCCTGCCCTGGTCTCAGAAGTAGATGTTGATCAAAGGGGACTACAGTGAAAAGAGCTTATTGAAGCAGAGTTGACAGTAGGTCTTGTTGTTCTGCTCTCTGAAGACGCCTTTCGACAGCTGTGTCAGACAGAAAGCACACACAAAGTGCTCAGGATGAAACTTGTGCCCCATGGCACTGATGCAGCGGCCAGTGATGGGCTGCCCACAGCCATGGCAGAGGGTCCCTCGGCGGTGATGGTAATGGAGTTCACAGAATGGACGGCCATCCAGTTCAAAGAAGGAGCCAGAAGAAAAGCTGCAGAAGCAGTCCTGAGGATGGAGTGAAGACAGACAAAAGAAATGCATGTCAAGAAATAATGCCACCAAGTAAACTTTTCATCTTCAAAACTCCTGCCAGTTACCTGCCAGTTGTAAGACTTATCTCAGGTCCTTGACAAACAAAGGCTACATTTACACATTTGCAAAACAGACCAGCAAATGCCCACAACGGGAGCTGTGTGCTACTCTTCTTTTTAAAAAAAAGTAATAAAACTAACATGGATTCCTCATCTTGGACTAGAAACTATCTCACTAAGTAGCAACTAGTCCTCTCAGAGAAGAATACTCTTTAATTTTCCCTAAAATCGAAGGTAATTGAGCATACAAACCCCACACACAAAGCACTCTGGGTGCCACACAGTGTTCATGGCTGAAAAGTAGTTTTCCAACACTGGGCGGTTGCAGCCACCACACTTAGGTGAGAACATGGCTAAGAAATCTTTTCGGCAATATGGCTTCTTGTCCTTCTCATGAAAGCCTGAAAAAAAATAAAATCAAAGATTCATAGTTGTAGTCTTTGAGTCCTTTAAAGCTACATTAGAAGCAGACTATGAGTTCATTATTGTAACCTCCCCCAACTTTAGTATCCCCATGCTCAAAAAGGAGATAATGCAGGTGTCTTTCAGCATTGAATCTGGATCACAGTCTAAGTATCAAGGGCTATTTCTCCTTAACACCTTGATACAAAGTGTTTCCTTGGCCTGAAGTTCTGCTCCTGACATTGATATAACTGTGAGTCAGCTCAAATGGTCATCTTCTCAGAGGCATCAAGCCAGTCCTTCTTTGTCAATTACCTGTCTTCATTGTCTTTCTAGCACTTACTTCATCTTAAGTCTTATAGCACTTAAGTCATCTTATAGTCTACCTTCCGTCACTGAACATTAGCTCTGAAAGAAACTAGATACCATTGGTCTTGCTACCATTATCCCCCCAATGCTTAAAATATTTTAAAATAAAATAACATTAAATAGTAATTATCTTTGATAAGTTATCCATAGCAAACTTGTCAGGAGAAGAGATAAAATTCACATTCCACCCCTAACTTAAATGCATCCTAAATTTGACCTCTCTATGGGAACTGGTAGATCAACTAAGTGTGAATCTCCTAATCAAAACTGTGTAAACATGAAAACCCACCCTGTGCCTCACCAGCCCGGTGGTATGCAACAAAATGTACTTAGTGGATTGTTCTAGCTGCCTGTTCAAGAAACATTCTAGAAATCACAGTGGCCAGATCACAAAACTGTAATAGGATGTCAGGGCTATGACCCAAATCACACAGCTGCTCTTCTTGCCTTTAGCTCTTGCCACTATTGGATATAGCTTGCTTCACTCAATTACGCCTTCTCTTAAAAAATGGGTTAGTTTGCAAAATTATAAAGCCTATGGGTCTGAGAATCCAAAGTACACCTGCCCTGTGTTATTCCTTTGAACCCCACAGACTCAGAAAGCTTGCTTTACTTTTCTCTTTTTCTTTTCTGACCCATTCAAAAGATGTCTAGTGTCTATTTAAGAGAAAGTGAATGTCAAACCCCTACTACTTAAGGAAAAAAAATACCTATGGGCATCTTTCTTGCTTTTGTGTAAAACAGTATTCTTTTTAACTTCAGCATGCTTCACTCACCTGAGAATTTGTTAAAATGTAGATTGCTAGTCCTCCCTGCCCACCTCCTCCACCCCCCCACCAGGGTTTTCATTCACTGTTTCTAGAATGGTACTGAAGATTTTGCATTTTTAACATGCCCCCAAGTGATGTAAGTTGGTATTTCTTAAGAAAGCTGCAAGACACACCACCTAACCTAGGTATGAACCCCATTTAGGAATCTGCAGAGCAGTTGGTCTCCAGAGGGAGACAGTAGGGGAGTAACAGCCTCCACTTCAACTTGGGTGAGTCTCGGGAGGGAAATCCAAGCAATCCACCAAACTTGCTATAATGTTCCCATACTTAGTAACCCAATAAATTGGGAAAGTTTCAGCATTACTGTCCCAAAGGCTCTCTCCAGGGCCAATTACCTCAAGAGAATGAATGAGAGACATTGACAATTAAAAGTTACCGCAGAGAGAGGAAGAGTGTTCCTACTCCAGTGTGACTCTTAGCCACAGGGGAAATTAAAGAGGACCTGCATGGCTAGGATAATGAACACTTAAAAAGAAAGATGGGTAACACCGAGGACATAGTCCCCTAGGAGAAATGGTAAGGGCCAATGCATTTAGAAACTTGAGCCTTAAAGAGGGATTCTCTGAATTGAAGAAGAATGCAGATGAATTTAATTTCCCAGGAGGTTTCATGGCTTAGCTGTTATTGTTGAAACTCTGTATGTGTATGTAGCCTGGAATAAAAGTCAGTATGCTATCTAATTAATGGACTGACCATATGGCAGGAGACCCATTTACAAGAAAGCCAGGAAAAAGAATGGAACTACAACCCAAAAGGAGCTTCTAACTAATAAATGGCTTCATTGCCATGTGCCTCTATTAATACATGTTTATAGTGTAAATTTCATGCTTATTACAAATCGTAATAAACCAATGAACCCTGTAAGGTTAGGAGGAGTCCAACAATGAAACCAGATGTTTTCCAGCCATCCTAAAGGTTGGGCATTTTTCTTTTGTACATAACTATGGCTGTTATTCAAATATGCCCTTACCTGTTTCCAGGCAATTTCTACATCATAATTCTCAACGGACAGTGCTGTCCACCCTCTCCTTATAGGTCATCAGTGATAAACCAAAGTACAATTCCACGAAAGTTCAACTTAAGGTCTCCTGCAAGTAGCCACCCCTGCTCAGATGAAGGGTATGATTGTTATGCTTGGGAGGAAAGCATTCTGCAACAGACAGTATTCATTTAATGACTATTCATTAATTTATTCTAATTAATTCTCATACTTCTATTGCTACTGATAAAGGCAAATATAAAACACTTTAGTGTGATTTAGACTTACTCAATAAAAAGTGTTGCTTAACTAAAGTGCAATGTAGACATGAAAGACCCAATGATTTATTAAGTGTATTGAACAAGCTCCAATGCACAGGCAAATCACTACAAAGAACTTTGTTAGTACATTATGTCAGTGCTACTGTATCTGTCTCTATTGCCCAGTAAAGTACAAATTAGTACTGAGAAAGTAAGATCTAGCAACAGGAGAGTTGAGTCTCAGTCAAAAAGCAGTTAGAATATGTTAGCAAAGGTGTGTGTGGAACTTACAGAAATGAGACCAAATGAGTTCAAATTCCATCCCTTCAACCTTCTAGTTTTACTTTAGGGCAGATGTCTCAGTCTATAAGGTGCTTGCTTGCCTTGTAAACACAAGACAAGGAATTGAATTACATCCCCAGAAAGAACCCACCAAATAGGCAAGCAAACAAACAAATAAGTAAACCAGGCATAGTGACACACATTTGTAATCCAGAACTGGGGAGACAGACAGTTGGTATCTTGGGGCTCACTAGACAGACAGCCAATTGTACTTGGCAAGCTTCAAGCCTTCTCTCTCTCTCTCTCTCTCTCTCTCTCTCTCTCTCTCTCTCTCTCTCTC